CTGTCTCCTGCTTCATGGTTATTTATTTTGCAGCTACTAAAAGTGAATTGAGCACTAATAGCAGACACAGAATGGGCCACAAAGATCATGAAATCTAAATAAAAACATGACTTAATAAATGGATACAAGAAAAACAATTGGGAAAGGGAAATGCGTGCATGCGCGCGTGTGTGTAAAGGAGAACAATGATTATAATAGACAGAGTGTGTGGTTCCTAATGTCTCAATCTCTGGTCCATGGACTGGCTCTGGTCCCTGACAGTTTAGGAAGGGAGCAAGCTTGTCCCTTCCTTTATCAAAAAGGTTGAGAAACACTGGCTTTGGGATTAACACATGCCTTTAAATCCAGATTTTTCAAAGAGGTTGGCTCCTCCTTAGTCACTCAAATTAAGTGCCTAAATGGGAACTGAGCTTTTTTAGAAACTCTGCCCCTTAAGTTCTACCTGCAAGAGGGAAAACCAGCCCCCTAAGGGAACCTCATGGTTCTGTCTCCTGCAACCTCTCAGCTCACAAGGGGAACATGCTGATGCTCCATCCCTTTAGGGAGTGCATCCTTCTTCCCATTGCTTGCTGTTCTTGTTCTCACCTCCTCCTGATCCATACTGAGCAGTGCACCCCTGAGAGAGTCTGCAGAGTGCTGTCTCTTTGTTCCCTGAGTGTCAGATCATTATCTGCACTAATACAGGCAGGGGAAAAGTTCTGTACGCCCATAGAAAACCAGGCATTGCAGTTCTCTGTAGAGTACTCTGTAGAGTCCTGCATGTATCTTAATGGGGTTGTAAATTGTGGTGCTCACCTTGTGTGTATGTGCGTGAATTACAACATTTTTTTGGGGTATTCTTGATTGAGCTTGTGAAGACTTTACACTCAACTTGATGACATTTCTCTTTTTGTAATGTGATAACTCTTCAATGCCACATTGGATCAATTCCAAAATTCCAGGAAATATTCTAGGCATCAAAGGCCAGAAGGCTGCTGATCTGGGGGGGAAAAAATCAAACAAAAGGCAGAAAGTGGGAGATTCATAAGTTCTTTCGCACTGCCACTGCTGGATGGCATCTATCTCATCTATGGCCATCCTCCCGATAGAGTTTAATTAACACATTGACAGCCTGAATGACTTCTCTTTCAGACGGAAAAAGGAATAATGGGGGCAAAGGGAATGGAGCAAATAGAGCCCTAGCAGTGGGAGGAAAATTAGGGGTACCTTCGTATAGGGAAGGAAGGAAATGGGGCAGACACAGCTCCTAGCATTGTTTGTAGGTGAGAATCGGAGGAAGGCAGAACAGCTGGCATAGAGGAAAAATGGGGGATAGACAGTAATGAGGGTACAGCACCCCGTTGGATGTATATTGGGGGAAGGGGAAATTGTGACACACAGAAATCCCTGCTGTGGAGTGAAAATGGGGGAGGCCGCAGAACCTCCTGGTGGGGATAACTGGGGAATCTTACTATCTGGGGTAGAAGGGATGGAAGCAGGCTGACCCCTGGTAGGTGGGGATGGGCTGAGTTGCAGGGAGTCCTTGAAATTGAAGGGTATGGGGAGTTGCCCAGAGAGCTTTTGGGGGATGGGTGGGATGCAGGAAGCCTCTCAGGTATGCCATGAGCTCAGCCTACACAAGATGTGTGACTGTCTTCATTTTATTTCATACTGTAAAAACATTACCTGGGGGAAGGGGTTGAGCCTTTTGTTTCCCCTTTATTTGTACCATCTTACATTCACACAGAAAGTCCCAAAAGATCCCCACCCCAACTCTGCTCTGTGTGGGATATCTCCATCTCCCCCAGAGAGCTCCGGGCCCAAGGTGATAAAGCCACTGAGGTGAAGTGTGCTATGGCACACAGCACTCCACAACTGTTTAGGAAAGGATGCCAAGAGAAATCCTGAAACTGCAGAGGGAACTTACGTGGATATAAGGGAGTGATCCAAAATTCTAGTGACTTTTAGGGTCTTTTTACACTTGTAAGAAAATCTAACACAGTGAAGAACAGGGATGTTAAAGCAGCTGTGGTTGAGATTACGGTTAGTAAGTGCCAAGCTCTCTCCTCCTCTTCCTGTACAGCAGGCTTGGACTGGGTGCAAGGACCTCTTCGGCCTGTGTAGCTGCTCCCCGAGTTACGAACAAGTTAGGGACCAACACTTGGTCCGTAACTCGAAGTGTTCGTAACTTGGATCCCATAGAGTTACAGGGCGACCACGCTGTTCGTAAGCCCGGATCGCTGCTTGTAACTCGGATCCGCATTTGCAGCCACTTTGGTTGTAAGGGAGGATGGTGGTAAGTGGAGGTGGTCGTAACTCGGGGAGCGGCTGTAGAAGCAAGACTTGCTGCTGCTTTCCTGTTCCAGCTGTTTCCCTCCAGGAGCAGGTGTCACTTCAGCTCAGAGCTAATAGTAGAGACCAGCCATCTGTATGTCCTGGAGGGAGCTGCTTCATGAAGAAGCATGCCCATACTAGGTCTGCAGAGACTTCCCCACAATCCACTGAAACCAGAACAAACTCTGACTGCAGCAAATTGGCTCTGACTGAAAAAAGCCAGCATGTGTCTGGTCAACTGACACATCTGGTCATGGGTGGCGGGTGAAGGCCCATCTGGGGAAGGCAGCCAAAGCCCCTCCCCTTCCGCCCAAAGCGGAAGGGGCATGGTCCCTTTCCTAAGACCATGCCCCTTCACAACCTTTTCCGCAGCCAAGCCCAGCCCAACCCCAGCTGAGGGCTGGGGCTGCTGTGTGGCTTGGCCCTTGCCTTCCCCAGCTGCCAGGGATCCAGGCTGCTGCATGGCGTGACCCCAGCCTTTCCCGGCTGCTACATGGCACAGCCCCAACCTTCTCCAGCCGCTGGGCATCCAGGCTGCCACAAAACATTCTTTGTTGCTCACATAGATTTTTTTTCCCTTCAAATACTTTCTGAGCAGTGCATCCCTAATGCTTCTTATCCATTGGGGGATGAGAAGCCCCCAACAAAAAGTGGTATAACTTCTTTGTGATAGGGTCTGTACTAATGAGAAACAATCCCTGCACCAAAAAGCCTTACTCTAATGCTCCTACCTTGCACACCTTTACACCTGTGTTTAACTAGTTACATTTGGGTCTGGAAGTATTCATGGGGGTAAAGATAAGCAAAGGTATAAATAATAGCAGGAGTGAGGTCTCCATAGAGAGAACAAGGGTGAAAAAAGGACAAGTGCACAGAGTTGAAATGACTCACCCAAAGACACCCAACAGGCTAGTATCAGAGCCAGGGAAATGACTATGGTTCTCCTAACAAGGCAAAATCCTGACTCCAGTAAAATCAGACGAAAACCTCTCACTGATTTCAGTGAGGCCAGGATTTCACCCCATGTATTTTTAAAAAAATCCTCATCTGTGCAGTAAAATTGGAAACTTAAAGAATATCTTTCACCTTTTCTCCTCATTTGAATTTTATTTTGCAGTAAAGACGTTAAATTGTGCTTCATCAGCTAATTGAGTAGTCGATGGAATTTCCATCATCTTCTTGATTAGTCAATAAGGGGGGAAACTGCAGAGCTGCAGTGCAGTTAGCTCCTGACCCCAGAAGTGAACCCCGTTATTGCTCTGCCTTTTAAATGTAGTTAGAACCGCCTGGCTCTTATTCCATTGTAAAAGAGGAGGTGCAACGGGGGACTGGATGTGAGCCGGAATTCAGATGTCCTGGCTCGCGCCTGGTCCCTCACTGTGCCTCTGCCTCCCCTGCACGCCAGTGGAGACCAACTTTTAAGCCAGCTCTTCCCAGCACTGGCTCCTGCTCCCCCTCTTGCTGCCTCTTATAGAATCATAGAACTGGAAGAGCCCTCAGAAGGCCATCAAGTCCAGCCCCCTGCTCTAGGCAGGACCAATGCCAACTAAATCAACCCGGCCAGGGCTTTGTCAAGCCGAGACTTAAACTCCTCTAGGGATGGAGACTCCACTACTTCCCTAGGTAACCCATTCCAGTGCTTCACCACCCTCCTAGGGAAATAGTTTTTCCTAATATCCACCCTGGCCCTCTCCCACCACAACTGAGACCATTGCTCCTTGTTCTGCCATCCATCACTACTGAGAAGAGCCTCTCGCCAGCCTCTTTGGAACCTCCCTTCAGGAAGTTGAAGGCTGCTATCAAATCCCCCCTCACTCTTCGCTTCTGCAGACTAAACAGACCCAAGTCCCTCAGCCTCTCCTCATAAATCATATGCTCCAGCCCCCTAATCATTTTGGTTGCCATCCGCTGGACCCTCTCCAGTGCGTCCACATCCTTTTTGTAGTGGGGGCCCAGAACTGGACACA